CCTAGTCCGGTCTGGTCCATAAATTAATAGTTAAAATGTATAAACGGTCTTTTATTAACCAGACGAACTAGACTGGACTATAACATCCCTATACCTAACATCACGTAGGGTCCCTATGTGATATAAGGTTAGCACTCGATTAGTTGCAGTTATATATTTTAGCAAATTGTCACCCTAGATTGTATTGAGTCGAGATAACTTTCGGGAAATCATGCAATAACCTATTTAGGATTCATTATATTTATTCCTTCAAACAAACTTTTGTTCCCGTGCCAGAGGCACGGGCGCTACGCTAGCCATTATACATTATGATGTCAAAGTTATATGCTCTTAGTTAACCAAAAATTAAATAATTACATCTATAGCTGATAATCTAGTATACTATGATAAAATTTCTCTAAGATCATCTAATGATTCTTTTAAAGCTTTTCTGAAAATGACGCTATCAGTTTCTTTGCATTTTTTATTACTACTAATACCGATTTTCAATTTATCTTTTTCAATAATATAAGCAATTGCATACGCATCAGGAACTATAGTTTCCATTCCAGTATGAAAACACAATCCAGGGCTCAAATTTGAAGTACGAAGTTTAAAGTGCATTGCTTGAGCATACGAAGGATCAGTAAATAATGTTGCTCTAGATTTTTCTCCGTCACGGATTTGGGATTGAAGGCCTAAAAGGTGACAATCTACTCCACGACCTAATGAATAAAGATATATAGATAAATCACCAGTAGTTCGAATATTTAAAATGCATCCAAGTACGTACCTTTAATAGCAGAACTTATATATTCAACATGTGATTTAATAGCCTTCATTAGCAGAGAAACTTTTTCATCTTTCTATTAATAAAAAAATATAATATTAATTAAATGCCATATTTATATAATTTAAAGTCAATGAAGCAACAAAATCGTACCTCGACATTTGGATCACAAAAAGCTTTGGTAAATGCAACGGTATCCACGGAGCAAGTTCTCACAGTTTCAAGACGACCATGTAGAAAACCTCTAGTAGAAGCAGTTTCATAAGTCGAACATGGCTCACCATAACGTTTATAATATGCAAGTTGAATTGCTATCTGAACAAATGCATCAGGGCTAACCTTAGCTATAATAATAAAAGTAGTTATATATACTATTTTTCTTTAAAGGAACATATGTAAAACATATCAAAACATATGCATTACCATTTTTTATCCAATCGGCCCCATATTCATTATAATACAATAAAACACTATCAACTTTATCAATAGCAGCTTGAATATTAATTTGCGCTTGCTGAATGGTGTTCATTATATCAGTATCAACAACCCATTTCAAGTATTGCGGAGGTGATAATTCAATAGGAGAAGTGTTTTGCGGATCTTGTGCCGGCTCACTTTCAATTTTAAAATAAGACATTATCTAATTATACATTTATAGACTTTAAATAATGTACAGTATTTATGACTTAAATTATACTCACTTTGAAATGATATAATCGAATAAACGGCCTACAATTGTACCATCCACAGATGAATGCTGTTGTCAATTTAATAAAATGTAACGAATTATTAAGATGCAAAATTTAATTACAGTGATACTTGAATTATATCCCTCTTTATTCCGTAGCATTTTTGGTAATATAAAGTAGGATATAACTCAGATATATAAACATATAAAAATATATTAAAAAGGAATTTTATCCTGCTTAAATATGGGATATAGGTTAAGTTGGGATATAACCTAGTGAGGGGTATAGCCCAGGTGTAGCCATATTTCACCATACCTCACCATTAACACCAGCACGTCCATTATTTGCAAAAATTAATTGAATTGTTTTATCAAACCATCGATTTCGGCCATTATATGCATGAATGCAATTATGATGAGAAACATCTATATTTGTATCAGTAGGATAGTCATCCAATGCTACACAAAATAAAGCTGTGTCAATTGCTTCAAAGCTAATATTGTTTTCTGCAGATAAAGATTCAAGCTTTTTGCGAGCCTGAAAGATAAATAAATAAATTTAGCAAATGCACCGTCTAAATGATGAGCAGTGTTCGAAATTTCAGATTCAAATACTGTTTCTAATGAGAACTGTGTAATAGGTGTAGGTATTCTCAAGCTACGGCTTTATGCTCAAAAAAAAATAATAAAATAAAATAAAAAAACTAATCAATATATACAGTATATTAAAATTTTAAGAACTCTGGGAACACTAATTTCGAACACTTTTGATGAGGTGAATAATTGACGAATAATTAGCGACAAAATACCGTTGCCCATGTATCACGGTGTTCAGCAGTCAATAAACCTATTGAAGGCTGCAATTCTGTGGCATTATTTACTTGATCAACCACAGATCGGAGTTGCCTAAGTGCAAAACAACACCCAGCATAAATTTTAAATGCTGGACAGTATATATATAAAATAAATAAATAAACCTTTTAATTTCTTTAATTGGAATCCTTTCATATCCAACACCTAAAACCTGAACTTTGAAAATTTGATCTTTAAAAATCACAATAATATGTTTAGCAGTCTTAGGCCATGTTGTGATAACACGATCAAAGGGGGAATCAGCAATGCGTGCAGTACTAAATAGTTTAGTATATTGATCCATGCATAATAGGCCGTGACGTGTCTTATCCTGTGGTAACAATTCACTATTCAATTACAAATCAAATGCAAATGTATTAATTCAAATTAATAAAAAAATGAATATAAATGCTAAATATAGCATACTTGTTAATCATATCATTAAATGTCAGCATATTTGACACTAATCCAGCAGCTCTATTGATTTGAAATTCAGATATTTGACCTTTTGAGGGTGGATTTTCTAAAATTCCGGTAACAGGATCATCGAACTCGATCCACCAATTAGAGTATATAAGAATAGGTACTCTCAATTCTAAAAAAAATTTATTTAATCGGATGTTTTCAATCCAATTGTACTGCAATAGAAATATAGAAGTTTTATTAAATCAATAATAACTTATATAATAATTGAATATGATCTATTTGCCTTTTCACTTTTATCAACATCGTATAATCTTTTTTGAAGAACTTCAGCAAAACCACCTTCCTTCATAAATTCATCAACGACATTGGCTGCTCGATTATAATCCGAAGTGGATAAAAGAGGCAATAAAGACTTCTTATAGCGTTCTGCTGTTTCTTTCAATGTCGGAATCGAAAGACGGGGGAGGTGAATTTGATTTGAGAAAGTTTTTTGATTGTTGGTTTCCATAGGAGTTGTACTGGCAAGTTTTTGAAGTAACTATGCTATTTTCTATTTATAAATAAAATTTAAAGTCAACGGTAAGTTAAAACGTTCACACAGTACGTACGTACGATGAAAAAATCAAAAGATCACAAAATATAATACAATAGCTTATGTAATACTTTATTGAAATCGATAATTGAGAAAGATGTATGGTGCAGGGAACTTAAAAGCCTCAAACTCCATATCGATATGATTATACACAAACTGGTAGCACATAATACGCCACGAATAAAATATATACTTATAACAACTATTCTATGAGGGATGTTACGTAGTCTAAGATTAAAGAATTTTTAAGGATCTTGTTATCTCAAGGTCTTTTGATTGGCTAATTTATGCCGATTCAAACGTGATTGCAATACTAGAATAAAATCATATAATAATCATTGTAGCTGATGCTGAAATTTTGACTTATTTTATTATGAATTTTAAAAAATTTTTGGGCTTTTTTGTTAGGGTTTTTTTTTAGTGTTAGGTTAGGGTTTAGAGTTAGTATTATTAGTAAAAAAGTATATGTGAATTTTAGTAGGTATATATTATATATTTAACTGGGGACCTAAATTTTAGCATCAGTCGCGACAATTGTAATTAAAACACAATGCTCGTTCACTGTTGTTTTATATGTTAAACTGCTATTTTAAACCAGTTTCAGACGAGATTATGAACTAGTTCTGACTAGTTCAGGACCAGACTTTTTAAGGACTTGACCAGGACTGGCTTTTAACATCCATAAAATAAACCACTGCTGAATTTCAATGAGTTAGTTGATCTTTATAAAGTAATTGATTTTTAAATTTCCTGCACCGTACATATTAGAATTTAGTAGCCGTGACAAATATTGAATGCAAGTGCATTTTAATATTCTTTATTAATAAAATTATGCTAGATCAACGTACTAAATCAGATTGACCCTTTAGCAGGATCCATCAATGTATCATAATTATTAAAAAGCTACATAAGTACAATACATGTACCGCGTCATTTTCAATTTGTGTCAATTATTAATTGACATGCGTCATTTATACATTAAGAAATGACATATGTCACTTTAATTATTATTAATAAAAAATTTTATGCTAAAAAAAAAAGAATTACAATAAAAAAAAATTTTATGCTAAAAAAAAATAGGCACTTGAATTGTTTAAAGGGAGTTAGGATGGAGTATGCTATATAATTATATATTACTATTTTATAAACCCTCCTCTAATCGTTCTTTGTCGCCATGTAGCAGATCATTTCTACTAAAGTTTATGATTAGCGTTAGGCATCTCATTTATTGGTTGCAATCTTACTTTTTAACCAGCTAGCCTGGCTTAAAATGGCTTGGCTGCAATATCATGACTGAGCCGGCTTTAAACAAGCCATTAACATCCCTATCGGGTTGTGAGCAACCCGCGTTTGGTTAGCCACTAAATATTGCTTACAATCATTTCTCCGAATGTTTAATACGTACAATGGTTGTTTATTTGTTCTAAATATTTAGCACAATTCCGTTCACACATCATTTGTTTGTTTCTGTCTAATGTTTATCATATGATGAGAGTAACCAATCGTCAGGATTGATTGATCTATATCTAAGCCTTTAACTGCCACCTAGGGTAGAGATGTACCATGCGCATTATGCGTGTTACACATAATGCCGCATAATGTAATGAAGATGGTTTAAAAGTTAAAATGTACATTGAAATTATTATATAAATTTAACTCAATGAAAATTTTATTATTTAATGTTTTAATTTAATTAATATAATGAGTAATCCATACTATGCATAAAAAGAAGTTCGTATAATAAAGTAGTTTTCAAGAGTAAAATTTACTTTTGATACCTAATTTTATTTATTAACATATGTAAATATTAATTATTATTTGTAAGCTTAACGTTTAAATAAAAAATCAAACAAGTTATTATTAGTAGTTACTTAAGCGAAGAATAAACTGGTTTAAGTTTCAAATGGTTAAATCCTAGCTATTTAACATCTTTAGATGTACATATAACCACATATTAGAGCTAGTCTTAATAAAAAGCAGATAGTAATATCAAAGTAATTATATATATATATATATGTCGTGCCTCAGATCAATTCTTGCGTCAGATTAAAACCGGCCTAAGTTAGATTAGGGTTAGGGTAAGAATCTGGGAAGGATTTGGGCTTAATTTAAGTCAATCAATATCGATCAGTTAATGCGGGCCAAAAAGTTGACATCTGACGCAAGCATTAATCTGAGGCACAACATATATATATATATTATACGTATATATACAGGGTTGCATAATGCATCATGGGACATAATGTTGCATTATGTAATGCAGAGGCAAAAAAACCTGCATTCGCACATCTCTAACCTTGGGACCTCACAATATTCTTGTGGTTCAGGTCATTTGGGCATTTAGTACCACCAAATCACATCACGGCCGCGGGTTAAAATTTAAACTGTTGTACTAGTTTTTAACGAGTTAACATCCCTATTTATGCGTACAAAAAAAAAAAAATTACCTTTAGTCACTTGTTTTATTGTAGATCAAATGATTGTATAATTCCGACAATAAATGACATTGAATTCATTGAATTAACTTTATCCTCGAATAATTAATTTAAAATGATTTTCGAATCCAAATACCCAAAAATAAAAATTCCTCAAGAAGGAATTTATCAATATGTGACTAGTAATCCTCAAAAAATTCCTGATGATAAGGTTATTTATATAGATGGGATTACTGGTAAAAGTTATACTTACGGTGAATTTAAACATGAATCGAAAAAGTTTGCTGCAGGATTGCAAGATAAATTAGAATTTAAACGTGGGGATGTCTTAGCGATATGTTCACCTAATCATGTACTTATTAATACTTTCATTAATTATGTTATTAATTATGTTATTAATTCATAGATTTATTTTATTAAGATTGATTATCCTATTGTACTCTTGGGAACGATCGCAGCTGGTATTAATATAATTTTCATATAAATTAAATAATACTGTTAACGTTTTTAATTTTAAATAATGCTTATATATCTAATAGGTGGAAAAGTAACGACTGCTAATCCGAAATACAGAGCAACTGAATTATCATATCAGCTAACCGACTCAGGCGCATCTGTTCTGATCGTGCATCCAAAATTTCTTGAAACCGCCATTGAAGCTTCAATTGAAGCAAAGATTCCCACATCCAGAATATTATTATTTGGTGATGAAGAAATAAAAGGATACAAGCCTTATCGCTCTGTTTTAATCGTTGATCGTGAAACTGAGCCGGTTTCTTATACTTCTAAAGAAGCAAAAACGACGACTGCTTATTTACTTTATAGTTCTGGTACAACCGGAAAGCAAAAAGGTGTCGAAATTACTCACACAAATATGAATGTTAGTTTAGCTCAATTAATCGGTGCTAATTGTGGCCTTGGTCCACACAGTATACTTATGGGAATTTTAGTAAGTTATATAAATGAGTTCCTTTTAAAGTTATTTAGGGCAATTCTTCATTATTGCTATTTTCACTTTAAATATAGCCATTTTTCCACGCTTATGCATTATCTTGCATTCTTCATGGGACCTTTATTCATGTAAGTTTTTCAAAATTTAATACCTTCATTACTATGATATCAATCTAATCCAAAAATTATGTTAATTACACGTCAATATTATAGGGTGCTACTACGATCGTTCTTCCAAGTTTTAATGTGGAAACATTCTGTGACGCAATTCAAAAATTTAGGATCAATTATATTTATGTTGTTCCGCCAATTATCCTTAAACTTGTCAATGTCTCTATAGCTCAAAATTTTGATATATCAAGTGTGAATATGATCATTAGTGCTGCAGCACCGTTAAGTGATAAATTGGAAAAAAAGTTTAATGAGATGTTTAAAGTGCCGATTTTGCAAGCTTATGGTAAGAATATTATTTTCAGGTTATCTTAACTAATGTAATTCCTTTATTGATCCTCATTATAAACAGTCTTACTACATATAATATTAATTTTTTTTTTTTTCTTTCTTTATGGTGAATTGCTTTCTATTAATTGCATGACATAATAAAGGTCTTACTGAAACGTCTTCAGTATTGCATTATCCTGATACAAAGAACATAAATAATTCAGTTCCAGGTATTATGTCATTAAATGGTGTGATTATTGTATAACTAATAATATTTCATGGTTTACTAGAGTACATTATTTTTAATAGGTTCTATTGGATTTCTTCTTCCGAATGTGAAAGCTAAGATATTGTCAGAAGATGGTGACGGTAACTATTTAATATATTCCTAACTTAAATAAATAACTCTAAATTCAAATAAATTTAAAAATTCATAAATTATATTTTAGAATTAGGATATAATAAACCTGGAGAAATGTGGGTTCATGGACCAAGTGTTATGAAAGTAAATAATGGCATAACTATTTTACTATGTAACTGTTAATTATTTATGATATTTGTACTATAAAATTTTTAAATTTTTTAAATAGGGTTATCTTAATAATAAAGAAGCTACAAATGCTGCCGTTGACAAAGATGGATTTCTTAACACGGGAGATCTTGCATCTGTTGACGAACAAGGTATACTTTATTACTAAATAAAAAATTATATTTGAATGTATATATTAACTATAATTTTTATTTTTCATAAAGGGAACTTTTTCATTGTTGATCGAAAAAAAGAATTAATCAAATACAAAGTATTGTAGATTATAAATAATTTATCGAATATTGGCATTTTTAACATTATTATGTTATCGAGTTTAACTGACAACTAAAATATTTATAGGGTTTTCAAGTGGCACCTGCTGAATTAGAAGCAGTTCTGATTACACATGATGCAGTATCAGATACTGCTGTAATAGGATATTATTCTGAAGAAGAAGCAACTGAAATACCTATAGCATATGTCACTATTAAATATGGATATGAGCAATCTCAAGCTTTAGCGAAGGAAATTCAATCTTTTGTAGATGGAAAAGTTGCGCC